TTTGACCTTAATCTGGTCTTGTCCCCCCCGCTTCTCTCGGCTCCCATGCCGTCGTTAGGGTGGCTTTGAGCTCCACCCTGAGCGATCATATATTCCCCTGAAGCGCTCGCTGACAACGCTTCAGGCAGCCCATCGCACGATGACGACGTGGGGGGAACTGGGACGGTATTCCCACCAACACGCCGGCCCAAATTGAAAGAGCTAATAGATTATGATTGTTAATGTAACATAATTATTTTAAATAGTCCATTAGAGAAAAGATTTTAGTCGATTTTAATGATATCTAGTTTTTTTTTTTTTTCATTTAATTTGATTTTATATAATATTGTATATTTGTTCGAAAGCGGACTGCGCGCGCGAGCGAGGACACGAACCGCGGATAGGAGGAGACAGTCAAAGCGCAGAGTTAACGGACAATCACAGTTTATTCGTCTATTTACACTATTTACAAGAGCTGAATCGCAATTATAACGACGGAAGAGATCGTGCCGCGAAAGCGTAAGAGCGAAAGTTAAGCGAGCGAAAGAGCGAGCAACTCTAAGTACTAAGCGCGCGAAAGAAACGGAGCAAGCAACTCGAATTATTGACAGCGGCAACTCGAAACGCAGAGAGCGACTGGCCCCGTTGCCAGGGGCGCGTGTCTCTTTAAGCTCTCGGGGGCTTCTCGCAAATTCGAGACCTTTCGATACACGCCTCTCCGAGAGAAGTCCCCGAGAGATGCGCGATCGACAATTATAAACAGAAAACAGAGGAAACAAAGCGAACAAAGAATGCCTTGTCTCCACTGTTTACTCATTTGATCGTCACGGCGAAAGTCACGGCGATAACGCTCAAGTCTCGGTGCTCGCAATTGCCGTGCTGAAACGCTAATTTGTATTTTCGACTTCGCTATCGTTAGAACCGTTTAAGCAATCTTAAACAATATTATTTAATTAATTATAATAATATTTTTATAAAACATAATATTTATGGAATAAATTATAAATATTATTAAAATAATTTTTAGTAAAATTATTATATTAATGTTTATAATATTTAAATTTAATAGAAAAAATTTAATAATTAAATGGTTATTAGAATAATTTTAAAATTTTAAAAATAAAATTTAATAATTAAAAAATATATTAGTTTTAATTATGTAAATTAAATAATAATGAGATAATATTAGTAAAAAATTTTAAAAATTATTTAATAATAAAAGGTTATATAAATATAAATTTAAGGAATTTGGCAAAAATATAAATTCACCTGTTTAATAAAAACATGGTTTTATGATAATAATATAAAATTGTTTTCTGCTCTATGAGATAATTAAATGGCTGCAGTATATTGACTGTACTAAGGTAGCATAATCAATTGTTTTTTAAAAGAAAGCTAGGATGAAGGAATTGATGAAATTTATACTGTCTTCAAATTTATAAATTTAATTTATTAATTAAACAAAACAATTTCCGTCGCCAGCAAATAATTCAAAATAAGTCGTTTTATTTTCGACCCAACTGGCCAATTAAAACAATATTGCACGACGTTTCGACCGAATTCCGGTTCTTATCAAGTGTTATTGATTTAAGTTACACCGATCCGCATAACAAATTGCATCGTTGACGTGGTGTCCTGACAACGTCAAGACAAACGCAAAACTAAACAAAAGAGAAAATAATACATTTAACATGTGACGTGACAAGTCGCGTCTCCTTCCCGGACGGGCTCGGCCGAGGGGAATTCGGGGATGCCTCCTCGTTGGAGCGAGAGGAGGGCGGTTGCGTATAGTAATTGGTCTAATTAGGTATTAAGTTTTTAAGGGATCGCCGGTGGTGACCGGACTTCAGCTGTAACGGCCGGGGGCCGCGACGAGGAAGGGCAGAGGAGTAACGAGACGGCCAGGGGACATGGCTGGAAGTCGGATCGCCCGGACCTCCCCGCAAGCGCATGAGCGTCGCCGGCCGGAATTCACCTCGCACTCGGTCGTAACAGCGGCAGTATATCGATCAGGAGGACCCCAGATCGCCCACGAGCGAAATGCCAGTGGCACAAGGGTGCAGAGGAGCGGCCCAGGGAAAGGTACCGCCCTGGGGCCGTCACCCCGAGGGGGATGCCGGCAGACGGGGCCGAGGCCCGGCCAGCCTGACCCCGAACGCCGACCCGATCATCGCGGCCCGGACAGCCGGGTGAATTGAAAGGCCCGCGCCGAATCGGAGGTGATTGCAGCGGCGCCGCCGGAGAGGGAGGCGCGCGAGAAGCTGAGGCGCCGACGAAAGCGCCCTGGAATGGAGTGGCGCCCCCGGAAGGAGCGGCGCACGTGCGGCCTAGGCGCAGGAAGCGCTAGGATCGGCAATCCGGTCGAGCGACACGCCACAGCGCAGGCGCGGGGAACCGGCGCGATCCCGGCAGGCTATCGTTTCCGTCACTGTCGTGCCGGCTAACGAGCGAGGAGCATCTCCTGCATTTCGAGCTGCCCGGACTACCGGAGGGACGACAACGATTGTAAGGTCACCACTCTGGCGTCCCCGCGTTAAGAGAAGAGGGTTCGCTCGAGGCATCGGCCCGTGGCACACGTTGGTTACCGAAGTTACGCAGGATACCTGTGTACCGCGTTAGAGCGTGCGATACCTTGCGCTCGCCTTGAAGTAGAGTCGTGTGGAGAAAGTGCCAGGGCCTTGCCGAGAGTGAGCTCTCGAATGCGTAGAGACCATTTGCGCCCTCCCCGCGAGCACCGCCACGGCCGACAGTCGCGTGGCGTTGGGATGGGTGAATCGAAATAATCGTGTCGCGTTTATGTAGCGTTTCGTCAAATTAATGTAAGTAATCGTATCGCGTTATTCGTGATTGTGTCGCGTTTCATTGTGCTAGAGTTTATGTCCGTAATCGTATCGCGTTTTGGCCATATTATTTAAGCTCGTAATCGTGTCGCGTCCTGGCCATATTAACGAGAGTGATAATGAGAGTGAAGTCTTGCGTGGCGATAACGGGAGCGAGTTGTGCGGGTAACGGCGAGTCGCGAGTGGTCATGTAATTTGAAGGGCACTCGCCCTCGTATTTGAGTACCGCATCCGGGCCCTCGAGGACAGCGAATATTAGTTTGGCGGGACGAAGAGATTGACGGGATCGGTGCGGGGCCGCGGAATCTCCGTGCTTGCGAGAGAATTCGGGATTCGCGTGGCAAGCCGCGGGATCGTCCGCGATACAAGTCCTTATTTCGTGTTCGGGGGCAATCGCCGGCCAGCGGGGTCGACTCGGCGAGATCGCCCATACTTTTTGCGTCGCGCGGAATCGAAGTGGCCCGGGTGTGCGTTGAAGGAGCTGCCGAAGGTGCGGCGAGCGATTCGTCGGCCTCGTGGCGTAAGTTCATTGTGTTGGAGCCAGGTACCGCGATACCTGAATCGTCATTGTTTCTGTTAAGCTTTCGTGTGCCCGTCTGCGTTTATCTGTTGCGTTGAGAGCTTTGCGTGTATTGGTCTACGGTGTTTCGTGGTCGACATTATTGCGTGCCCTTATTGCGTATGCGGCATTCGGGCGTCCGCCTCGCCTGTATTGTTGCGGTAATACGAGACTCAGATCGATTATACCCCTTGATACTGCCTGACTAAATATATATTTTGTTATTATTTTTTATTTTCTTGTGAGTGTGATTAATTGTGTGACGCCTCTCTCCGAATTCCCCGAAAGAGCCCTACGCCCGGAGGTATTGCCAGGAATATCGCGTCGGACCTATTAGAGTACGGTGGTGCGATCCGTCGCACCTGGCGCCCAATCTTTTGGTGTCGGAATTAGTTGTGCATGCTGCCAATCCTCGATAGCCCTCCACCGGATTGCGAGACCGGGGGAAAAAGCGTCGCAAACAATAGAAAAACTATACAAAATCGTTACAATATCACGCTGGTCAAAAACAATAAAATTAATTAACACTGTAAAAATTAGTTAAAAGCTTACAATTCTTATGCGTTCCAAAACAAACGGTGAATCAAAACGTCACCAGCCATATCGAGGCACAACGTCCGAACAGTAAGACAGTCAAAGTCGAAATGAAGTTGTCAAACGTAATCCGCGGATAGCAAACGGCGCTCTGATGGAAAAACGAGCAGAACCGAATATACAGGGCCGACTAAGTGATACCTATGACCCGGTTATAAATAGATGGCAGGCTCTCAGTATCGTTTTGTAAATTGACTGTGCAATCATGTTTTTTAATGAAAAACATTTCCGATATTTCTCTTTTTTTGAAATGTTTTTCTTTGTATAAAATTTTTGGATGTTGCCACTTGAAATCATGATTGTGTGTAAGGCGATGTTTGCTCACAACAGAATGATTATCTACATTTTTTCTAATATCACATCGATGTTCTTTGATGCGTGTTTTTAAATGCCTTTTTGTCTGGCCAATATATACCGCATCACAATTTGCACAATCAATCTTATAAACTAACTCAGTCTGACTGAGACTCGGCAACGCGTCCTTACCCTTCCTAATGACACAATCCAATCTCTTCGGGATGGTGTGAAGAACTTTAAAGTTCATGTCTTGCATTGTACGGCTAACATTCTCGCTAAGGCCCTTTATGTAAGGTACAGGTTTATTAATTAAGTAAAAATACTTTAAGCCACTGACGTGGCCACTCAGGCTTCGCCCCGCGTCAAACACGGGGCGTGTGACGCCTCGGGAAGCGGGATCGATGACGGTCTGGGGCCTAGCGCGGGACTTTGTTCTCGCGTAGACGCCCTTGACCGCAAGATGGACGAGGTTATAAGGGAGTTACGCTCTCTTGTAGGAGAGCGGGCGCTCCTCCGGCTGGGAAGTCCGGCAAGGGGGGTGCTTCCAAGAGCGGGAAAATACCTGGTGGGCACCCTCCTCTTTTGGCCGGTGGGCCAAATGGGGGGAGGCTGCTGGGAAGAGAAAGGGAGGGGGCGCTGGGGCCATCGCTTCCCTAACCGGCGGACAGGTAAAGTCTGTCCGGGGCGGGGGTGGGAGTGCTGGGCGTGTCCCTCCAGTAGCGATCAGGAAAATGGCTAAGGCTGCGGGGCCGCTTCCGTCTAGAACGGCGGCGGTGACAATCACCGTCCCCGGGGGTGGGGCGGTTTCGTACGCCGAAGTTTTAAAGGCGACGAGGGAGAAAGTCTCCCTCCCCGCCTTAGGGATAGATGACATATTAGTTGTCGAAGGGCGGTTAGCGGGGGACTGGTGTTAGAGGTCCCCGGCGACGACGCCAAGAAGAAGGCGGACACCTTGGCGCGGCAGATCAGCGCCGTGCTCGAAGGGGTGCAAGTCGCCAGGCCTAGCAAGAGCGTGGAATTGCGTTTGAGGGGCCTGGATGACTCGATCACCCAGGAGGAGATAGCGGCTGCCATCGCCACAGTTGGCGGCTGCGATACGGGGGACGTGAGGGTCGGGGAGATCCTCCGTCCCCCCAGGAGCATGGGAATTGCCTGGGCGCGATGTCCGGTGGGAGTCGCGTCAGGGGTATTAAAGGAAGAGCTCAGGGTGGGCTGGAGCAGACCGAAGGTAGAGCTGCTCCAGACCCGGCCCCTGAGGTGCTACAGGTGCTTAAACGTGGGCCACGTCTGGGCCCTGTGCGCCTCCCCGGTCTACCACAGCGAGCGTTGTTACCGCTGTGGAGAGTGCGGCCACCGGGCAGGCCGGTGCTCTGCGGCGGCCCCGAAATGTCCGCTTTGTGCGGATTTGGGGTTGCCGGCTGGGCATCGGCTTGGGGGGACTGGGTATTCCCGCCCGAAGGAAAATGTGAGGGTGGAGAGGCGGGATCCGAAGAGAGGAGAGGAACCCGCTTCTTCAGCGGGAGTTATGGCTCCTGCAGGAGGAGGAATGAAGGACGGGATAGCATGGGAGCCCTTGGGCCCCCGTCCGCCCCGCCCTCCAAGCTGACAGAAGTGGAGCATGGCGGGGCCGGGAGGGCTTGGGCGGCGTCCCTACGAGGTCACTGCCACGAGCGCTCTTCCTGTTCCGCTGGGAGGCCGGAACCCGGGACTTTATCCCAGGGTTCGGACTCCTTGCCACCCTAGTGGTGGCGCATTGGGAAAAAGACCATTCGCTGGGCGCGGATGTTTTTCTCTCCCCTGATGTTTTGGGTGCAGGGGTGTGTGGTGGGGACCATACTCCCTGCGGCTGATCCTCAGGGGTCGGCAGCCCAACTAGATGGTGTGGCGACTAGGGATAGTTTCCCCTAGTACGCCACGGGAATTGCCCTTCGACCCGGGCGAGGCGGGGGAGGGAGAGTGACTGGTTGCAGCGGTTTCTGAACGAGAAATAAGGGGCCGTGTTGCGCTCCTCGATCTCTCTCAAAAAACCCCGCCGAGAAGGGTAGCTACGGCTACGCCTGGAAGGGGTGCCGGAAGCAATAATAACAAGTACCCGGGCCCCTCTCTTAAAGGCACGCGTAGGAACTCTTGTGGCTTTAGTTGGTAGGCGATCGGCCTGCGCTTCGGCAAGGGTCGGTTGAATCCAACACACCCCCCGCCTCTTACCCCAGAGGTGGAGATGTCTTTCAAAGATTTCCACATGTAAAAAAAAAAAAGGTGGAGGACCTCGTGGTGGAAAATAGCCAGTAATGGCCCTGCAACTTTTACAGGTTAATCTCAACCACGCCCGCGCCGCCCAGGATTTATTCCTCCATACCATGGCGGAACGCGGGTGTGGATTGGGAGTGGTGGCGAAGCCGTTCAGAGTCCCGGCAGGCCACCTCTTCTGGGCTGCTGACACTTACCGGCTCCGCCGCCATTACATAGAGGGACTTACCGCAATCCCCCCGTGCTCGCGCAGCAAGAACGGGGAGGGCTACGTAGCGGTGAAATAGGGCCTCATCTCTTTTATTGGAGTTTACGCCCCTCCAAGATAGAAACTGGCCAAATTTGAGGGGGTGCTGTACAACATTGGCGCATGCGTACGCAAGCACCTGCGTGCTGCTGTCTTCGCCAGCTGCTGGTTCTCGGGATACGCGGGTGACGTATATTTGGGGTCGGCGGGGAGACATGGTTTAAGGCCATTAGGCTGGTTAACGTGGCTGCGGCCAGCGTGGTGCGCTTAGGGAGTTGGGCCTCAAGGTGGCCCCGCAGAGAACCCAAGCTGCATGGTTTTATAACCGCGCTCTGCGGGGCCCACCGCCAGAAGGGCTCAACATAATAGTGAATGGAGTCCACGTCCCGATTACCCTCTACCTTAAATACCTGGAGGTATAGCTGGACAAGACAGGGAGCTTCGGCGAGCACATTGCTCGCGTAGCCCCTAAGGCGAGGGGCGTAGCCAACAACCTCGCCAGGCTGTTGCCTAATCTGGGCGGCGCAAGCGGGCATGTGCGTCGCCTTTACGTGTCAACGGTCCACTCCGTAATGCTTTACAGAGCGCCTGTTTGGGCTGAGCGTGTGGCGAAAAACATCCGCCTTAGCAGGCAATTGGTGGCTGCCCGGTGAATTATCGCGAATCGGGCGTCCGGGCATACAGGACCGTCTCCCACGTGGGGGCGACGACCCTCGCCGGCATCCCCCCGATAGACATGATCGCCAGGTCGCAAACCTGCGTGTACAGGCGAATTAATGCGATTAAATAGGAAGAGGCGTAATCACGCCAAAGGCAAAAGCCGCGCTGAGGCTTCAAGCCAAAGAGACCCTCCTCCGTGAGTGGAGCAAGTGGCTCACGAACCTCCAACTGGGGGAGAAGGGTCCGAGAGGCCGTTCAGCCGATGTTGAAGAAATGGGTAGAACGAAAGAGACGCGGACTGACGTTTTACGACGAGTGGTTCGCCCTGGCCTATATTTGAGCAGCCTGCTCGACGGCCATCTTAATAAGAAGAAGAAAAAGCGGACTGACGTTCCACGCGGCGCAGGTGCTCATCGGGCATGGTTGCTTTAATGAGTACCTGTGCCGCATAGGAAAAGAGCCCACCACTTCCCGGGGAAGGCAGACATGGCGCAACATACACTGGAACACAGCCCAGCGTGGGAGGAAGAGCGCCGTGTCCTCCGGGACAGTGTTGGGCCGGACATCTCCCTTCCGGCCGTCGTAGCGGCAACGGTCGGAGGAGAGGAGGAAAAATGGAGGGCGTTTGTTTTCTTTTGCGGCAGCGTAATGTTGCAGAAGGCGGCCAAACGCGTCAAAAGGGGAAAGTTGCCCCTCCCCCTCCTGAAAACGATGGGGATAAGAGCGATGAGGGACCACCGCCGCCACCACCACCGCGCCGGCGTCGCCGGACTCGTGCCGATGCTTCCATCGTAGCCCCAGACGGGGCTGAGATATGACATCAAGGAGGGAAGCGGATGCCCATTAATGGGTACCCTGCTCCCCTCAAGCAGAGGGGAGGACACTCCATAAGGGGGAGCCTAACCCACTCGGTTCCGATACTCCGCTCTACGGCGTAGCCAACTGGGCACCCTGCTCTCCTCTAGTTGGCTACGCCGTAGAGCGGAGTATCAGAACCGAATAGGTTAAGCTCCTCCTTATGGAGTGTCCTCCCCTCTTTTCTGGGAGGAAGGGGTAGAGGCAGGGTGCGATCATTTCTCTCCACTCTGGTACTTTTCGAGAAACATGGGAGGAGAGACAGCTAGGAGGTGTGGGCACGCGGGCGGGGTTACCGCGTGTCAGCACATCAAGACCCCCTAGCGTGAGGGGTCGTGAGTTGGGGCTAGTGTCCCCACAACCCACCACATAACCCAGCAGCTCGTAAGGGCTGGGGAAAAAAAATAGTCATTTTTCCTCCCCGGGATAGGTGCCCGGTGAACACGGGCGTGGCGCGGGGAGGGTTCCAGAAGAATCAGTGCGTTTCCTAGAGCCCTCCCTCTACAAACGCGCCGGGATGGACACCCGCAGAATTTTAGCTGGTAAAAATCCGGCATTTTTCTCGCCTCTTCCCGGAGGCGAGAGGGTCTTCCCCTCATAAGGAGGGCTACTGGGTAAACCGGGCTAGTCCCGGGATTCTTGTAGTAGATTTCCCTGCGTTAAAAAAAAGGTTCCACATAATCCGTATAAGGTTAAAAAGTGATTAAATGTGCAAATATCTATTTTTTAAACTGTTTTACGTTTCCCCCTTTAGGAGTTCAACAGGTGAGAGTTAACAAGGGAGAGTACCACCACTCAACTTCTCTTGTCAAGCGCTACAATATAAGTTATCACTCATCTCCCTCCCGAGGGGAGAGGGTGGGTAATTCTAACCCTCCACACTGCTCGATACACACGTGTATACGCACTCACTCATCGTATGTAGGATAAAATAGGCTGTCGCGATAAGCGTTGCGCACAATATAAAACAATAACATTATAACAACAAAAAATTAATATACTACCAACGTTATGTCTAAGTCCAAATTACAAGGAATTTTAAACTGTTGCATTGACTTCAAATAAATGTTAGAATAGAACATTTGAAAAATGTTTTCTGTAACGTTTTTAAAATACATATTTTAATAACATTCAGAAAAAATTATATTACAAAATAATATTTTTCAAATATGTATATAATATTATTAAAAAACGTTTAAAAAATACACATAAAGTCAATATTTCTAAACGTTGTGACGTGACAAATGTCACGTCCCTCACCCCAGATGGGAGCTCGGCCGAGGGAGGCGTCAGGGGTGGTGCCTCCGCCCGGGGCGGGCGGAGAGCGAACGTTTTAGGTTAGGATTAAGATCTTTTTGCGAGCGTTACAGGTATCGAGGGAACGCGGAGCAGATGGCCAAGGTCACGGAGTTTTGTAACGGCGTGTGCCGCACCGAGGGACTTACAGGCAGAGTTGGGCATTAATCGATTAAAATTTTAGTCGATTAAAGTAATCCATTAATCAATAATCGAAATTAATCATCATACATGTAATCGTGACTAATTTAATCGATTAATGATATTAATCGTTAATCAGTGTAGAATTAATCGAAGCTGTTCGAGAGCGCGCGGTAGCGCGAGATAGCGCGAGGTGAAAGACGACCACAAGTAAAGAGACAGCAAGTACAATTAAAATGAAATATATAATGTTTCCAAAGTTTCAGTATGTACACGTTATTTACAGTTTTTTTTCCTTTTGCCAAGGAAGCCGTGAAGCGCGCACAGAAGCTACGGCGAGCGACGCGGCGTAAGCGTGTTCGAAACGCGGAATAGCGGAAAGCGGTTTAACTATGATCTGCGAGCGAAATCGGTTCCGCGGCGCAGCGGCGGTCCTTTTAACACCTCCGAGGCGAAACTCCCTCCCTGCAGATTTCCCAGAATTTCGGGAGGGTGATTGGCCGTCGGAGTCCCGCGTCATGGAGCTGACGTCACCGATTTCACGTAGCGACCCGACGGGGTCGTCACCTGTTTTCGAGTGCTTTGTGTATAGCATGGTTCGTTCCTTTGTTCTAGCGTTGTTGTTTGACTTTATTATTGATAACAATGTTAAAGTTTCTAGAAAGCTAATCCCGAAAGATCCATGCTATACCGAATATTCCCGTGACAATTCTTATGCGACATTTTACGCGAATATTACTTTACTGATGCAAGCGTGCATGTGCTGACATGCAGCCGAACGC